CATTCCAGTAGACTGCACATAAAGTTGTCCTGAAAGCGGCTGGGTGCAGTGGTTCACACCTGTAATCTAAGCACTTTGGGAGGCAGAGGCCAAGGCAGGTGGATCACTTGATTTCAGGAGTTGAGACCAGCCTGGGCAACATGGGAAAACCCCATCTCTACTAAGAATACAAAAAATTTGCTGGGTGTGGTGGCGCACCTGTAGTCCCAGCTATTTGAGAGGCTAAAGTGGGAGGATCACCTGAGCCCTGGAAGTCAGGGCTGCAATGAGCCACGTATGGGCCACTTCACTGCAGCCTGGGTGACGGGAGTGAGACCCTGTCTCAAAAAAAAAAAAAAAAAAAAAAAAAATTGTCCTGAAAACAGTACTTCTTGCTTCAGGGTCAGTAGTGGTGGTTTATCCCTTTCTTTTCCTCTCCCCTAAGAGTTGAAGATTACACTAGGGCAGGCTGGCTATAATGAAAGCAGTTGAGTTTCTGCATTGAGAAGAGGCATGTCCGGTAGAAACTGGATGGGTAAACAGACTCAAGAAAAACATAAGGACTTCAAAATTCAACTAGATAGAATAAGCACTGTGTTGAGAATCCAGTCAGGACCAGGTTGTACAAGAAATAGGTTCTAAGTTTACAGGACAAGAAATGGGTTCTAGGTTTCAGGCAAATGCAACATCTTGGAATTCAGAGTAGCAAAGTAGGATGCAGGTGGTAGGACACAGGTAAAACTAGCCAGGTAAGAAGGGCAAGCAAGGCAGATAAGTGGAAGTGGAGGCTCAGGAAATGAACAGTGACGATCAAGGACCAGAAATAGAGGATGTGGCCAAAAACAAAAAAAATGTAGGCCACAAAGGCTAGGACCCAAGAGTAAAACCAGTGATTGAGCCTGGAAACAGGAGAGATGAGGTAAGAAGGACTTGGGGCGAAAGACTGAACATTGAAACTCACCTTGATTATGAATCAAACTCTTCAGAAGCTTCCTAGAGGCTCCTTGCTGATGGCTGGAATAGGTTAACAGGAGGGAAGACCAAGGCCCAAGGAGCCAGGAAGTTCCTGACAGTCATTTGAAATATCTTTGCTTTTCTCTGTTGAATCTCATCTTTAGTTATTAGACCACCTCTCTAGTTAAAATACTTAATATTTCTTAAGTTTTTCTAGGGGCAGGGTTATTGTAAAGTAGCATACCTCTCTTGTGTAGTGCTCATTGGTGCTTTCATGCTTATTTTGACAGGAGACCTGTAACAACTCAGAATAGGTTTGCAAGAGAAAAACTGATATTATCTGTTCCTAAAGGGAAATTGTTTTCTCCTCTGGTAGATTTTGCAAATGATATCATATTCACTAAACCTCTATTTGCCTGGTCTCGAAATGGATGTGTACTAAGAACAGAACATTGCTAGCGCAAAGCTACATTTTCTTTAACTACCTTGTATAAACAGGCCTAACGTCTACACTTTTTTGTACAAAGTTATAGTCACAAAGTCAAGCCCCTTCTCCGTAATAAACACATTTAATTATATTAACATTTGTGTTGCTTTGTGGTTTTCAGAGTGCCTCTATCTGTATTTTTATTCTGGCCACACAACTCTGAGAGGTGGGCAGAGTGAATTTATCCCTATTTTGTAGATGATGAAATGGGTACAGAGAGAATAAGTAATTTGTCCAACTTTGTGTTGCCAATAAATAGTAGAGCTGCAAGGAGCACCTAGTTTCCTGAGGCCTAGTTTAATCCTTTCCACTAAATCATGTTGTAGAAAATACACCATAACTAAAACCACGTTTGTTATAGTGCCATTCTTTTCTGTGTGGGGGTTTTTGTATTTTGGTTTGTTTTTTGAGACGGAGTTTCGCTCTTGTTGCCCAGGCTGGAGTGCAATGGCGCAGTCTCGGCTTACCTCTGCCTCCTGGGTTCAAGCGATTCCCCTGCCTCAGCCTCCCAAGTAGCTGGGACTACAGGTATGCACCACCACACCCGGCTAATTCTGTATTTTTAGTAGAGGTGGGGTTTCTCCATGTTGGTCAGGCTGGTCTCGAACTTGTGACCTCAGGTGATCTGCCCACCTCACCCTCCCAAAGTGCTGGGATTACAGGCGTGAACCACTATGCCCGGCCTTCTGTGTGTTTTTCAATTGCAAATGCACACACTCCCCCCATGATAAATCTCTCTAGCAAGCTGAAGGACTTGTGTATTTTCTGTACTATATTTTATAGTGCTTAGGAATGTCCCTGATACACACTTTTCATTTTAAAGGAAAAAACGGGAGGGACCTGACGCTTATCTGTGATGACTATGACTGTCATTATGCTAGATACATTATCTCATTTAACCCTCTTAACAGCTCGGAGGTGACACCACTGTCGCACCCTCTTATTCCTCATAAGGAATCTGAGCATCAGACATCTTTTTTTTTTTTTTTTTTTTGAGACGGAGTCTTGCTCTGTCTCCCAGGCTGGAGTGCAATGGTGCGATCATGGCTCACTGCAACCTCCGCCTCCCAGGTTCAAGCGATTCTCCTGCCTCAGCCTCCCCAATAGCTGGGATTACAGGCGCCTGCCACCGCGCCCAGCTAATTTTTTTTTTTTTTTTTTGTACTTTTTAGTAGAGACGGGGTTTCGCCATGTTGACCAGCCTGGTCTCGAACGCCTGACCTCAGGTAATCCGCCCGCCTCGGCCTCCCAAAGTGCTGGGATTGCAGGCGTGAGCTACCGTGCCTGACCTGAGCTTCAGACATCTTAAGTGACTTGCCCATATTCATGCAGTAAGTGACAGAATCAGGATTCAAATCCAGGTTCGTCTGACTCTACTAACTATCCCAAACAGTGAACCTGAAGTAGAGCTTAAAGACCACAGGTAGAAGAGTCAGGTGAACCTGGAGGTATTAATTACTAACTATCCCAAACAGTAAACCTCAGGTAGAGTTTAAAGACCACAGAGAGAAGTCAATACCTTGTTTGATATGTTATTAATACATTTCGCTGTTAGGTCCCAAGAACACAGTAATAAGGTATAGTAACTTGAAACATTAAATTACCCAGGTTATGAGATAGGATATAGAAGGGAAAATAGAATTTTTTCTTCAGTAACAAGTTCCTTCCAAACAGTGGTGAGAAACTATTTTAATCCCTTTTATTGCTTATAGTCTGTAACTAATAAATGCTGTGCTTAATTTGGTACTTCTGTATCAGACAGTAAATAAGCTGTAATCATCATAGGGCCTCTACTTCCATTATAAATTGAAAAACTATTGAAGTTGGATCCAGGATCAATGTTCAGACTTTGATTACCACCAAACGAACAGAAGATACCAGAAGAGAGAGACCCTAGGATCAGGTCAAGCCCCGATCCCTCCACTAGCCAAGGATTTCAAGGCCACATCGATCTATGGGGATTAAAAGGTGGTGCCATTGGCTCCTCAAAAAGCTTTGTAATTTCACCAGGCAATGGCTGTCTCCAGTGACTGCAAATTAGAGTTTTATTGAAATCTTTGCATAAGAGAATGGGCTATACCTTTTCTTGCTCAGGCAAGACCTTTGATAGGTCATGTGCCCTTCTCAGGAAGCCAGCTCATTCCTTTGATACTTAAAGGCAGGACCAGTGAGCTAACAGTTACTGAATTAACTGCAGGTCAGGCCAGTAGGCTCACCTGACTGGAGAAAGCAGGGCAAGGCCAGGGAACCACATGGTTCTGACACTGCTGCATAGTTGCAATTTTCAGGAAGTTGGCTCTTTGCACCATTTTCCTCAAATTTTTTCCAAGATGAATGGTTTTTTTTTTAAGAGACTAACCTTCACCTTGCAAGAGAATTATCTTCTGTGCAATTTCTTGGAAGCCAGCATGATTCTTTTCATTGCTCTTTAATGATCATTTGGATATTTTTACATCCACAGCAACTTTTACCACACCTGCTAAACCTGTTATCGGTGTTTAATTTATTCTTTATCCTGATGAACCAAACCAAGACCAGAGAACCATCAGTAGTAGAGATTACCTGTCATAAAACACGGAGAAAACCAGATGCAGGAGAAATGTGATTAAGGAGCATAAGCCTTCTTTTTTTTTTTTTTTTTTTTTTTTTTGAGATGGAGTCTTGCTCTGTCGCCCAGGCTGGAATGCAGTGGCACGATCTCGGCTCACTGCAAGCTCTGCCTCCCAGGTTCACACCCTTCTCCTGCCTCAGCCTCCTGAGTAGCTGGGACGACAGGCGCCCACCACCATGCCCTGCTAATTTTTTTCTATTTTTTAGTAGAGATGGGGTTTTACTGTGTTAGCCAGAATGGTCTCGATCTCGTGACCTCGTGATCTGCCTGCCTCGGCTTCCCGAAATGCTGGGATTACAGTTGTGAGCCACTGTGCCCAGCCTGCATAAGCCCTCTTTTCTGGTTCTGCTTAAGTTATTCACATACTGAACGTAAATAGGAAATGTTTCCTGGCCAATAATAGTAATAAGGTAATAGAATAGGCATGTTGACTGTGGACAAGTCACAGTCATAATAGGAGAAAGTCATGCTTTTGGCCGATATGTTTAGCAGATGATAGAAGATGTAAAAGAGGCCAGGTGTAGTGGTTCATGCCTATAATCCCAGCACTTTCGGAGGCTGGGGCAGGCAGATCACATAAGGTCGGGAGTTCAAAACCAGCCTGGCCAACATGGTGAAACCCCATGTCTACTAAAAATAACAAAAATTAGCCTGGCATGATCGTGTGTGCCTGTAATCCCAGTGCTCAGGAGGCTGAGGCAGGAGAATCACTTGAACTCAGGAGGTGGAGGTTGCAGTGAGCCAAGATCATGCCACTGCACTCCAGCCTGGGTGACAGAGCAAGACTCTGTCTCAAAAACAAACAAAAAGATGTTGTAAGACTCACTTCATGAAGCACATGCCCATCAATCACCTGGCCAGGGTACTCAGCAGACCAAAACCAAGTAGAGGTCCTGATTTGCAGGGGTCCCTTGGCCTTTTGAAAAACGTTTTTTCAACCTGTAATTGATTTGACTTTCAACACGTAGCTGCAGTTCAATGCAGAAATGTTTAATTCACCTGTTTAGAATATGCTTTTCCTGAGGTTTAGCCCTGGATCCTTCGGCACTGGATGTTGGGGAAGGGGGTACGTTTCGGTAAACAATGACAGTGACTTCTGTTTGGAACCATAGTTTCTTTGTTGGAAAGAAGCTCAACTCATATAAGGAGTTTGGAACCCCCTACCGGACTTACAACCTCCAACTTCTCTCTAATGAGGCTCTTGGGAGCTGTACAGAAAGGTGAGGCTGAAGTTTGACTGTTGCGTTCTGTTGCTGGTTCCGGGCATTTGGAAAAGTTTCTCTTTAGGCTGTTACAGCAAGGCTAAAAAGGAGAGGAAGAAAATGTTAAAATGTATGTTGTCTTCCTAGTTTTCCACTTGTCTGTTTTCATTTTGGAGTTTGACATAATTGAAAGCACCAAAGCTAATAACTACCATTTATTCAACAGCTTGTATTTTTTAATACCTACCCCCAGCTTTCCCTGGCCCACATTGATTTTGCCTCCTCCCAAAACCAGAAAGACTCTAAACCTCAAGTTAACCAGTTGTATTAGCCTCCTCCCACTAAAGATTTTAACCAAGCACCCAAAACTAGAGTAACTAATTTGAATCTAGTCAAGTTAAGGTTATTTGATGTTAGTTAGCCTTTATGTGTTTAAAATATGTGCGTGTAAATCTCTGAATTCCAGTTCCATCACTCAAGCTAACTGGGAAAACTTGAATGACCCGCGGATACTGGCCCTAGTTTCAGTCACTGTAACAAGCCGTATTTCCTTTTGAACAGGCTGGATCAGGTGCAACACCACCATAAGGAAGAGTGGAGTTGGTGGCATCACGATGCTCTTCACAGGATACTTCGTCCTGTGTTGTAGCTGGAGTTTCAGACGTCTGAGTAAGCCTTTCTGTATTTCTAGCCTTAATAACAGGTCCCATTCCGTTATGTGGACCTCGAAGGGATTCTCTGAATTGCTTTTTTGTTTTTTGTTTTTTTACAGCTTTACAGTATCTGACATGCCCTGCTGAATGAGCTATTGCCTGGGGTTTCTGGGGTTTTTTTTTTTTTTATTTTTGAGATGCAGTTTCGCTCTTGTTGCCCAGGCTGGAGTACAATGGCACGATCTCGGCTCACCGCAACCTCCGCCTCCTGGGTTCAAGTGATTCTCCTGCCTCAGCCTCTCGAGTAGCTGGAATTACAGGCATGGGCCACCATACCCGGCTAATTTTGTATTTTTAGTAGAGATGGGGTTTCTCCATGTTGGTCAGGCTGGTCTCAAACTCCCGACCTCAGGTGATCTGCCCACCTCGGCCTCCCAAAGTGCTGAGATTACAGGCGTAAGCCACTGCGCCTGACGGGCTCTGGGGTTTTATTAGAGGCTTGGTTGTAATGGCCTGTATAAGATTTGACTAGAATTCACATAATTGTCCTTGCGCTCCATTTCATGTTGTCATTTTTTTTTTTTTTTTTTTTTGAGACGGAGTCTTGCTCTGTCACCCAGGCTAGAGTGCAGTGGCACAATCTTGGCTCACTGCAACCTCCGCCTCCCGAGTAGCTGGAACTACAGGTGTATGTCACCATGCCTGGCTAACTTTTTGTATTTTTAGTAGAGACAGGGTTTTCACTATATTGGCCAGGCTGGTCTTGAACTCCTAACCCCTGGTGATCCACTTTTCTCGGCCTCCCAAAGTGCTGGGATTACAGACATGAGCCACTGCACTCAGCCTTTCTAGCTTTTTTTCCTTCCCTGCCAAAAGGTCAGGTACGTAAGAACTGTTTCCTTGCTCCAGTGGAAGGTGCTCTTCCTCGGTGTCTAAGAGCACCTTTTTGGCATTGAAACCAAACACTTTTATACCACAAAAGAAAGGAGGAGGAATAGAATATAGCTGTCACTTACCAATGTGTCTAAGTCTTATTGCTATCTCAGTTAATCTACTTTGAACACTTAAAAACCAAAGTGCCATTCTCCAAGTTTCAGCTTGCCCTAAGTCTTAACCACAAGGAAAATACTTTACTTTCAGTTCTCTTAATTCAAGATATCTTTCTTCATTTTCAAAGTATTGTATTATGAAAATATATCCTTATAGTTAAAAAGACATGATGGGTATCAAAAATATCAGTATGTTTGTATAATTAAATTTTTGTGCTGGTTTTGTACAATCAAAAACCAGTATTTTTGGGTCGGGTGCAGTGGCTCATGCCTGTAATCCCAGCACTTTGGGAGGCCGAGGCCAGCAGATCACCTGGGGTCATGAGTTCAAGACCAGCTTGCCCAACGTGGTGAAACCCTGTCTCTACTAAAAATACAAAAATAAGCTGGGCCTGATGGCGGGCGCCTGTAGTCCCAGCTACTTGGGAGGCTGAGGCAGGAGAATTGCTAGAACCCAGGAGGCAGAGGTTGCAGTGAGCTGAGATTGCGCCATTGCACTCCAGCCTGGGTGACCAGCGAAACTGCATCTCAAAAAACAAAACAAAACCACCAGTATTTTTGTACAATAAAAAAAAAAGCCCACTTTCAGATGAAAACTTCAGGTATAAAAGTACAAGATAACGATGAACTCTGAAGGCCAACATAATTCACACACTAGACTTTTTTTTAAAAATCACAATTGGATGCTAATTGGGATGTGTTTGATGAAATCAGTGCCTAGCGAGTAGCGGGTAGGTCTGACAGCAGGAACAGGGCAGCAGCACACTCCTGCATGCTGGCTGGAATGGCCTCGCCGCCATCTCTTGTATCAGACACCTGGCCATGCGTGAGGGAAAGGAGTGCCTTTCTGATCGTCCTGCATAAAAGGAGAGGCCCAAACCCAAGAGTCATTTCTCCCACAGAGAAAAGGGCTTTTTCTTAAAGTTTTACCAGTCTGAAAGGGATTGTTTGATAACATTAGTGAACAGAGACTGAAGAAAGTGAAACAAACTCATTGTGCTTAATACTCTATTTCTAAACTTATAAAACAAAAATATAACAGAATGATCTGTAGAGGCAAGAGATAGCAACAGTCATTGGAAGTGGCCTCTTGGATCCTTACATTTGTCTCTGTTTATCCAAAGAGCTGCAGCGCTGGCGTAAGTGGTGTTGACCTGGACATCACTTAAAGTTCTGGAACAGCAAAGAGTGTACGGTGGAGACGACTGCAATACATACTTAACAATTTTAAAATGTGTAATATGTGGGACAGGGAGAGGGAGTCAAAAAAAAAAAAAAAGAATAAAGTTATTGGAATCTAAAATAATGATACAGGAAGTAAATGTATTATTAATGTAGACAGATATGGTTCTGTCTGGACGTTCTTGGCTTGCTGTCAAGAGCAACTGAGAATTAGAGAAAAACTAGTTTTGTTTAATCATAAAGTTATAATTCAAGGAGATGTGAAGATGACAAAGTTCATCATTAAAATTAAGAAGTTATTTCTCAGTAAAAACCTGGTATCTCATTACCATTCATCTATATGAGATACCAGACTACTACCTATATGTTGATACAGGAGAGTATCTGAACTGGCAGAAAATAAGCCCACATCAGGCCCTTCCCCTTAGGGTCTCTGGGGCCCTTGACCAGATCTTGATAGGTGCGAGAAACACAGGAGCTAAGGATGGGCATTCGAGTTGCAGGTAAGCCTCTGCAAAAAACCTTACAAATATATTTAAGATGATTTTTAAAATAGCACGCTAACTATAATGTTAAATCACATTTTATACATCTTAATTGAGTATAATAGTGACCAGGTGGCTAACTTATCATCTCTTCCTGGAAACTTTTCAGAATCCCACCCCTACCCCTTTCTCAAGAGTTTCTGTGTATTACTGCGAAATTCCTCTCAATTTGTTAGGGTTGTTTTTGGCTGGTGGATTTTCTGTGTTTCTTCATCTCATCAAACTATTCAGTGTCTGATTTTTTGACTTCCGCTTTGGCCCATAGAGAGTAACTTGGATACTTACAGGTAGAAAAAGCTTTGAGGAAATTTAGGCAGCATCAATGGATAAGTGTTTCCCCAACCTCCTTTCTAACATAGAGGGTTAGTTGTATATCACACGCATACACCCCTCTGCCTCAGCTTTGCATGTGGTATCCTCATCCCAAAATACATGAGGTCAGTTCCTCTTATGTCCCAGCTCTTTTAAAACTACAGGAATGCCAGGTGCAGTGGCTCGCGCTTGTAATCCCAGCACTTTGGGAGGCCAGGGCGGGTGGATCTTGAGGTCAAGAGTTCAGGATCAGCCTGTGCAACGTGGTGAAATCCATTTCTACAGAAAAACGTAAAAAGTCGCCAAGCTCAGTGGCACATGCTGTAGTCCCAGCTGCTCAGGAGGCTGAGGCGAGAGAATCCCTTGAGCCCCGGAGGCAGAGGCTGCAGTCAGCTGAGATTGTGCCATTGCATTCCAGCCTGGGTGATGGAAGTGTCTCAAAAATCCCAAAAAACCTACAGAAAAGCCACAGCTAGCATATGTTGACTTGTACGTTGTTTCTCTCTCTTCTCAAAGCTGGAATGCTGGGGCTACTTTTTACCTACCTTTTCTATTCCCAGTCCCCTGCTCCTTTCCGTCCCTAATGGGAGTAATTTAATTATGCAACAAATTCTCATAGTTAAGGTATTCAGCAATATATCCCTGTATCCTAGAATTCTCTGTAAGGAAAAAAGTTGTGGTTGAGGGAAAGAGTTCTACATTCAGTTATTTTAGTTTAATATTACTAAGAACTTCATTGGAGCCCAGAACAATCTTCCCTGCCGAAAGCTTTGTGCCCATTCTCTGTGAGTGCTCTTTAGGAGAGATGCTTAATGATTCTCTCCACACCTCCCCCTGCGTGCTTACTCAAGACCAGGAACTCTTGAGGTGAGAAGGTAGATGAGAATGACCTTCAATAATATCCTCTTTCCCAGTCCCCCAGTTCCCTCGAGCAGGGGCAGCAGACCACCGTGACCCACAGACCAAAGCCTCCCACTGCCTTGTTTTTGTACGTAGTCAAAACGTACAAAAACAAGCCCTGCTCATTTGGTTAGGTGCTGTCCATGGCTGTTTCACACGACAACAGCAAAGTCGAGTAGTTGCGACAGAAACCATATGCCCTGATAAGCTGAAAATATTTACTATCTGGCCTTTACAGAAAAATTGTGCCGACCCCTGCCCTGGAAGAGAACAGTACCTCCGTGTGTTGGTGTGGTGAAGACGACTGGAGATTGCCGCTCTAAAACATGTTTGGATTAGGAAGCACATTTAAGTAGGAGAAGCCTGTCGTGACTTGTCTCTAGTGCCTTCATGCCCTGTGTTGTTCACTGAATTGCCCCGTAACACCTAAGTGTAGTGGTAGCATAAAGGGATAGCTTG